TAAACCAAACTCCAATTTTATTTCAAGACGTAGGGGTATAACTACAAAAGGTATGAAAATACTTAAATTTCAATTTGAATACTTGTAAAAATTAATATATAAACAAGAGCAGAGAGATTAAGGCTCAGGTTGAAGAGCTCGTGCTAAAAGTACAATTAATTATTATGTACGTGTGATGGATGCTTATAAATATAAGTACGTGCTTATGAATGTATGTAAATTTATACTCGTAAACTAATTTAGTAAATCTTGGGCTAACGTTAGTTACAAAGAAAAATTCAATCATACATATGCATTTAGGCGGAGGGCAACGAGAAATCTACAATTCATTTATTTAATTCTCCCCCTTTTTTTTGTACTTCACTTTAAGTTCAAAGAGCCAACCGATAAAAAAGGAGACGCGGCAATATAAGTATTTGCGCGAGTTTCTGAGTACCTTTCGATTTGTACAAAAAAATTATTGGAACTCTGCACACATCAAAACCCAAACAGAACCCACAAAACCCAAAATTAGGTACACTACTTTTCTTATTGCCGATACGTATTACTAAGAAAATATATAAAAATTTAAGAGATCACTTACATCATAGCTCCCACGACGAAAGATCTTTCGATGCGCGTGTTGATGTGTGGTGATACTGAAACTTGTATATTATGAGTGTTGCTGGTTTCGGTTAAGTGAATATATATAATTTTGGGATATTTTTGGTTGACTGCATGCAGAATTATTCTCCCCTTTTTTTCTTTTTTTTTACAACAAATTTATACGAAGAACTCTTTGTGCGCTTAACTAAAACCGAAGTTCTTCTTTTTTCTAACTTTCATACATATATGTACTTATGTGGTAATTTAGTTCTGCCACGCATCTCCCGTCACTCTGAGCACAAAACTAGCCAATTATTCTTATACGGCTGAAGGCCTCACTAATGAGTATCGCGGGTTATATTTTCCCGATTTTCCAATTTTATTATATTTTCCCTGGGGGGAGAGTTAGCGAAGCGGCAGACAAACGCACCAAGTGTGGGGGGGGCGGGGGTTATTACCACCACTATACGAGCACCCGTGGACGATTGCTGTCCCACTGACACCAGCACTACGGCGTAGGGGAAGGGAAGAAGGGCAGCTTTTTGCCAATCGCGGTATTTCCAATTTTGCACTCTGTTGGTAGCCCCTGAGTGGGCTCGATGTGAATTTTTCGTTAGCTTTGGAGCGTTAATTGCGTGCCAAATCCTATAGGAGATGGCACCCAAATGGGATACAATTGGTGTCCGAACCCAAGGCAGCTCTACTCTTCTTTTCCTCGTACATACGACAAAGGGGATGGGTGGCAACTTTATACGCAAAATGAAATGCGG